TGGGGTCATGTGGGTGGCAGCCAATCGATGTGTCTCTCTCACATTGATGTTTCCTTCTCTTTCATCCTCCCTCTCTCCCTCCTGCTCTATCTGAAGATAAATGCACAAATGTCCTCAGGTGAGGATTCAAAAAAAAGAGAGATATCAGATGTCCATTTGTGTTTGCAGGATGAGTGCCCAGGTCAGGGAAGAGGAAGGCTGGGCATGGTGTGTGCAATGGGCCTAAATGAATGACCACCAGCCTGGCCCAGCAGTGGGGACAGGTAAGAATAAAGGGGTAGAAACCTAATTTACTTCCTTTATTATAATTTAGTTTAACAGTCATTTTGGGAGCAAATAAGGACCATGTACAATAAATACCACAGAAAAGAATTAAAACAATCTCTGTCCTCACAAATTCTAGGTTTGGTAAATAAAGGTGTTAGGCTTTTAATAGTTCATCTGATATCAGATAATGAGCTTATAGATCTGGGGTGTTTTAAAGAAATTAAAATGTTAAAAATCTTGGCAGGTAAGCCTTTATATTCAAAGGCCTTTGGTCTTTCTACATAGTGAATCTCCACTGACTTACAAAGAAGAACCAGAGGCAGTAGGAATACCCTCTCAGTATCATTTCCCCCTACTTGCAATGATGCAATGAAAGTGCCCAGGCTGGGTGAATGTGATTTTAAGGGGGAGGTCCCTGGGTATCTTTTTTTTCCTGAATAAAGACTCTGGCACAGAGGTCACAATGCTTGCTGAGTGGATTAAACATAATGAGATGGTTTTAATAAAGACATTGACTGATCATCTGTTCCAGTCCCTTGAGGGAGCAGGTTTAACTCTGAGCAATGGGGGAACCATGTCTCTAGAGTCCCTTTAAACTAGGTTGGGCAGAATCTCAGGGGATGCTACAAGGAGATCAGAGATGGCAAGGGCAGTGTGAATTCAACCCCCACCAACTGCTGATTTACAGTCTAGTAAGTCTCCTGGGAATTTACTGAGCTTCCACACCTGGATTGCAAACTGAATGATCCAAGAGAAACCTAAAGACAGCCAGCAGAGCTGGGAGGTGAGAACACTGACTTTGGATGGCCATCTGGCACAGCTCCTGTTGCACACTACTTCTGATTCCTGTTCTTGTGTGAGCCTCTACGTATTAGGTGCTATGTGGGTTGCTTCACATTCTCTCGTGAAGTTGCTGATGAGGCTTAGAGAGGAGAGGAACATGCCCAGAATCAGAAAGCCAGGAAGATCAACTTGGAGTTCACCTCAAGTCTGTAACACTGAATACTATTTCTTATGCCTACTTCAACTGCTCTGTAACTTTTCCCCCCTTTGCTAATAAGGTAGTAACCATCTTTTTGTGAAGTAAAGGAGGATCTGGGTTCTTAGTGAAGAGATGAAATGTAGTTTAGTGGCCTGAAACAACTGGAAGTAGACTTTTGGGATCCCAATTAAGCTCAGGATACTGCTTTTAAATGTGTACAGGTTATGCAAATGAGTGAAGGAGGTTTGATGAAAGCAAAGTTGAGTGGCCTATGAACCTTAACTCAGAGAAAGTGAAGCTCTTCTAGCCTTACTGCAATTACTTATACACATGGAGCTTCTTATGGGAAAGAACCATGCCTGATTTAATTCTATGTTCTCATACAGCCCAGGGCCTGGCACAAATCAGGTGTTCTTTACATGCTAAAGGGGGCAGATACCACTCAGAGACTACAGATTACTGTCTCATAAAAATGTAGGTTAAGCAGCAGCAGCAACAGCAGCAGACTTTTAGAGTTTTAAGAGATGGCACAAATCTAGTTTTGGTTCAAATCAAAACAAAAGGATGTGTGACTTGGGGCATTAAAACCTATCTGTGGATTGGAAATGGCCAGATTTGCCACCCCTGGCTTCAGCTCGGGATATAACACTGAACTTCACTTTACTTACTCACTCTGTGTACATCAGACAGGGTCGATGGGAGCCAGAAATCCTCACCTGTGAGCCTTTCAGTTCACCAGGGCACAAAAACCTGCTTCTGGCATTCAGAATCCCCCTCCCCAGCAAAAAAGTGGAGCACAATCAGAAGAGAGTTTGTCAGTCTGTTCCACTTCTTTGTGGCTACAGTAAAAAAGAAGCTGTGTTAAATCCCCTACAAGAGTATTCTTTGGGGAGGGGGGATTGTACTGAGACCTATAGTGGGAGTTATTTGGGCAAATGTTTAGTTGTTCTGAGTTTCTGTTTCTTCATCTGAAAAATGGGGTAATAATATTTATATTCTTCAGTTCATTCATAACATTTGTAAATCACCAAGCATGGACCATAATGGTAACTTACATGGTTCCTGCACATTCAAGAGTTTATGCAGCAAAGGAGACCAATAATTACACCAACAGTTAACTTAATAGGGGGTGATGGGAATATAGGGCTGGTGGGAAGATTAAAAGTAAGGTATGTAAAGTGCCTGGAATGAATAAATAAATGAAATGGAAGGTCAAGCAGTGGAGTAGGTAAGAACATGTTAGGAATGCCCTACGTTAATGAAGATTATATAAAACTGTTAGAAAAGATGCATCCTAAATAAAAACTAAATGATTAAGCCACAACCCAAACTTTCTGGCCATGAATACTTGAGATTGACTAAGAGGCAGGGGACCCTAAAGTATTGTATGGTTTGAATGAAGAGAGAAGACAACAGCTCCCTGGCTCTCCCTTCCCCTACTCTCCCCTTTTGAATAGCACTCCCAGAGGGGCCAGAGAAGGGAAAAGAAAAAGCTAGAAGGGGAAGCAGCTCCAGGGTCAGAAGTCAGATCACGTGAGGGCAGGGTCCAACCAGGGTAGTTGCATCTTTTGGAATCAGTCTTAGCCCAGCATAGGGGATGGGGGTGAAGGTGAGGCCTTTGACACTCAATAAGTAGTAATGTTTTCATTAATTAAAAATCTTATTGTGCCCTGGCCGGTTTGGCTCAGCGGTTAGGGTGTTGCCCTCGGACCAGAGTCTTGGGTTCAGTTCCCGCTAGGGGGCACATACCTTGGTTGCAGTTTGTCCCCGGCCCCGATTGGGGTTGTGTGTGTGGCAATCAGTCTATGTGTCTCTCTCACATGGATGTTTCTCTCTCTCTTCACCCCTCTCTCCCTGCTGCTCTATCTAAAGATAAATGCAAAAAAAAAAAAAAAAGTTCTTGGGTGAGGATAAAAAAAAAAAAAATCCTATTGTGATCTGAGACACAAAGGATACCAGCATCAAAACTGGGTTACAATAAGCACAGAATCTCAGAGATTCGTTCTCTCTTTCATTCACCTAGTTCTTTCTACTCCATGTCGGCAAGGCCCTGGGCTAGGCATGGAAGACCAGGTAGATGACATAGACTGTGCCCCTGGGGAGTTCACAGTCCAGTGTGGAGATAGACACATCAACAGAATGGGGAATGATACCAGAGGAGAGCACGGGGGGCTGTGGGCACAGAGGGGGCACCTCATACAATTGGGGAGGTGAGGAAAGGCTTTCTTGGAATGGTACCCCAAATGGCATCCCCACTCACATGCACAATTCCAGAGATTCTACTAGAAGGCTGTCAAGAGCCATGCCTTCTGGCTGCACCAGCCTCCCAGAGTCCCCTGCTGCCCGATGCAGTGTCTGCAGAGCCAAACGCATCTTCCGCCACGCCTCAGCCTCATCCGGCGCCGCATCCGACCCTCCAAGACTCCTGCAGGAGCCTGCCTTCCCTGGCAAGCTCAGCCAAAAGACCAACTCAAAACTCTTTTGTCAAAGCAAGCTTAGGGCGAGCCACCCAGCCCCAGGTGCTACAACCCTCCCAGAACAACTGTGGCTCATGCCACCAGGGCTTCTCGGTGAACACTGGGAGGATACCTCCCATTAAATCCTTTACTCAAAAGAACGTGACCTTTCAGGTGGCAAGCTGGAAGTTTGGCGAGTCCTCCGACTGCTCACCCTCAGCAGAATTCGCCAAACCCAGGGATCTGAGGGTCAGGCAAGCGTCTTGTGGGTCAGGGGTATATTGGATAGAAAGGGTAGGTAGGTAGGCTCTGCTGGGTTTCCACCTCAGTGCAGGAGCCTCACCAGATAGTCTTTTGGACAGCCTAACTGTCTGCTTCAACTGCTCCGCTGGGCAGGGAGAGGAGAGAGGCCGCAGGAGACATATATACTAGGGGCACAGCTGCTGAGGGAGCAATGGTTGCAGGCAGGGAGGGGATGGGGTGCAGACGCTCTCAGGGGGTAAAGGGAAGAGGCTGCAGCTTTCCAGGACCCAGCACCCTGAGATGGCCCGTGGGTGATTGGGGAATAAGGTGGACCTGGGGAAAATGAAGAGCAGAGGGCTTAACTGTTGGCCTCAGGATCAGAGCCCGGTGCCAGTGTGGGTGTACCACCAGAACGTTTAGCTTCTGCTCCAGCCGGGAGGCAGCGGGAGGGGGCAGGCAGTCTGGTTTTAGAACAAGACGGGCCGTGCCTCGGCTTTGGAGAGGGGGTCCAGCCTCGACTCTCGCTTTGGCTGAGAAAGCCTCAGCCCTGGCCCTGGGGGTAATATGGTCCATCCCCAAACCCGGCCCGGCCCGGCTCCAGCGAGGTGAAAGAGCCGGAACAGCCGAACTCGCCTCGTTCGCTCCTACCTGCGGGCCAGGCGCCAGCTTGAGCTCGTTCTCCCCCCAGGTTCCGTCGCGGTCGGGCTCCACAGGCGCCTCGGGGGCCCCTGCACCCTCCTCTGCTTCCAAGCTCGGCGGCGGTGGGGGTTCGGGCACCTGGGGCTTCTGCAGCCCCGTGGCCCGAGCCCGTTCGCGCCGGCCCGCACCACCGCTCGGCCTGCTCCGCCTCCGAGTCATGCTGCTGCCCGCTCCTCTCCCTCGCTCCACTTGCGCCCTCCGCTGCCGCCGCCGCCGCTCCCCTCTCAGGACAACAGCCAATATGGCGGCGCCCGGCTCCCCCTCCACCGCTGCCAGCAGGTCAGAGGGCAAGCCGAGTCCGCACCGCCGCACTAGCCCCCGAGGCTGCCTACGCCATTTTGAATAAGGTCACCGCCCGGAGTTCTGCGGGAGAAAGAACGTGGTGGGGAGACGCCCTCCCAGTCTTGCTACCTACGCGAGAAGAGGGTCTGTCTCCGCACTGCTCTGGTAACCGCACTGCTCGGCCCTTGTCGCTTAATCACTTAAATGAATGAGTGAATTAATTAATTTCTGCAGTGCTATGGTACTTTCACACCCATCACCTGACTTCTCGCACTCACACGGAGAGGCAGGTACGATCGTTCCCATTTTGTAGCGGAGAAAGTCGAGGCTACAAAAGGCAAAATGGTTGCTTATCATCTTCCAGGAAAATGTGCTTGTGTACAGCCTGAACTGAAAGGGACGAAGGAATCGTCCAGGCCTTTGTTTGGTTCACTGGGAGTCCAACGATTGGTGCCCAGAGCATGGGACTCAAACCTTGTTCCTTCTCTCCCAGTCTCTTGGGGACCAGTGTGATAAAGATTGGATAACGGGCATGTACTAGGTCAGTGTTTTAAAAAGAGTGTTTTGAAAAAAGGAGAGCACTTTGAGTGGTACACAGAGGAAGATTTAAAAATGTATTAATTGTTAAAAATGGGATTCCCCCCTTTCCTTTTTTGAATCTATAACACGTGCACACGGTACAGCTTTTTTTTTTTTTTTTACAGTTGCTTTCTTCTTTATTTTATTTTATTTTATTTTTCCATCACCATTTACCCCCATACCCTTCTCCACCTTCACCCACCCGCCTCACCCCTGCAATCACCACACTGTTGTCGGTGACCATGAGTTCTCTTTTTTTCTTTTTTGCTATCCCCGCCTCGCAGCTGTCATCTTGCTCTCTGTCTATATAGTCTGTAATTATTTTGCTTATTAGTTCAGTTCATTAGATTCCACATGAGTGAAATTATAATGATGTTTGTCTTTGACTGATTTATTTCACTTAATTAACATAATGTTCTCCAGGTTCACCCATATTGTGGCAAAGGGTAAACGTTTTTTCTTTTTTTGGTCCAGTAGTATTCCATTGTGTAAATGTGCCATAGCTGTTTTATCCCCTCATCTACTGATGGACAGGTAGGCTGCTTCCAAATCTTGGCTGTTGTAAATAATGCTGCAACGAACATAGGGGTGCACATATTCTTTAAAACTAGTGTTTCAGGTTTCTTCAGATATATTCTCAGAAGTGTAATCACTGGGTCATAAGGCAGTCCCATTTTTAATTTTTTGAGGTATCTGCATACTGCTTTCTACAGTAGCTGCACTAGTCTGCATTCCCACCAACAGTGCAGGAAGGTTCCTCTTTCTCCACATCCTTCCCAACACGTACTTGCTTGTTTATTTATTGATGACAGCCATTCTAACAGGTTGTTAGGTGGATATCTCACTGTTTTCATTTGCATTTCTCTGATGATTAGAGACATTGAGCCATCTGTATGTCCTCTTTGGAGAAGTGTCTATTCAGGTCCTTTGCCCATTTTTTAATTGAATTGTTTGTTTTTTTGGTGTTGAGTTTTATAACTTCTTTATAAATTTTGGATATTAACCCCTTATCATATGTATCAGTGAATATGTTCTTCCATTCAGTCGGTTGTCTTTTCATTTTGTTGATGGTTTCTTTTGCTGTGCAAATTTTTTAAAGTTTTGTTTTTAGTGCAGTCTGTCTCATGCCAGGGCCAGTGGTACTGTGAAACCATATAGTGGTTATATGTACAGTTGCTATTGATGTTATCAATGGGGGCAGAATCTTGACATTGACTTAAACCAACTTGAGCAAGGGCTATTTTTCAAGGAAAGACTAATGCCCCGGAACTCTCCTTAACTGCCAATAACATAAATAAACATTAATATTTCATCTCATCACAGGGATTAGTGCCACTATCAAAGACTCGAGAAATTCAGGGTAATTCCTACTATATATAGATGATATTTCCCCATTTATTTATTTTTTATTGTAAAATATGGATAATAAACTTAATATCTTAACCATTTTAAGTGTACAGTTAGGTGCCATTAAATAAATGCATATAGTTGTGCAACCATCACCTTGATTCATCTCTGGAACTCTTTTCATCTCGCAAAACTGACATAGTATTCATTAAATAATAACTCCTCATTCTCCCCTCTACCCAAGCCCCTAGCAACCACCATTCTACTTTTTAAAAACTCTTCCCATTTTCTCCACACCCTAGTTTCTGTTTACCACTATTCTATTCTCTGTTACTGTGAGTTCAAGTTTGTTGTTGTTATTGTTTTTGTTAATTCATTTCATTAGATTCCACATAGGGGTTTTTTTCCCTATTGATTTTTAGAGAGTGGAAGAGAGAGAGAGATACATTGATTGATTGCCTTCCACATGTGCCCTAACTGGGCTAGGTATCAAACCTACAACCCAGGTACATGCCCTTGACCAGGAATCACTCTAACCACTGAGTCACATCAGCCAGGGCTTTTTAAAAAAAAAAAATTCCACATATAAGTGAGATCATGCAATATTCTTTTTGTGACTGGCTTATTTCACTTCACAAAATGTCCTTCAGTTTCATACATGTTGTTGCAAAAGGCAGGAGTTTGATTTTCATATTTTTTAAGCCTGAGTAATATTCCTTTATATATATTTTTATATATTTATAGATATAATTTATATATACTCCTTTATATATAAAAGTTCATTTACATATATACCACGTTTTCTTTTTTTATTCTTACCTGAGGACATTTTTTCATTGTTTGTTCAGACAGAGTGGGAGGGAGAGAGAGAAAGAGAGAGAGAGAAACATCGATGTGAAAGGGACACATTGAGTGGCTGCCACCCACACGACCCAACCAGGGCCGGGGACAAACTGCAACCGAGGTATGTACCCTCAGCGGAAACCGAACCTGGGTCTCTCTGGACCGCAGGCTGACGCTCTAACTGCTGAGCCAAACTGGCCAGGGCTATACCACATTTTCTTTATCCATTCATGTATCGACAGAGAATATAGATAGCTGGTCTTAAAGAGTCACAGAGCATTATGATAAACTTATTGTGTTAGAACCTCATTGCAGTCACTCTTTTTTTTTTTTTTTTATCCTTACCCGAGGCCTGGTTTTTTGTTTTGAAAAAGTATTTTATTTTAAAATTTTATTTTTGTTACAGATGTTTTTCCTTCTCCGAGGACATTTTTGCATTTATCTTCAGGTAAAGCGGGAGGGTGGAAGAGAGAGAGAGAAACATCAATGTGAGAGAGACACATTGACTGGTTGCCACCCACACAACCCCACCTGGGGCCAGGGACAAACTGCAATTGAGGTGCGTGCCCTTAGCAGAAACCAAACCCAGGATTCTCTGGTCCATGGGCTGACGCTCTAACCGCTGAGCCAAACCGGCCAGGGCTGCAGTCATTCTTTCAGAGTTGTCATTCTTGGAGCAGACGAGCACAGTTTTGGGCCTCTAATAGACAATGTAGGTTTAATCCATGTTTTTCCTTATGTATCAAACCTCAGGAGCAGTTTGTATTCCACTGGCAGGGACAGCATTAAGCCTTTACTGTCTTGCTTCAAGGGTATGTCCCTCTCTGGACATACTTAGTTTACTGGATTTTTTTTGCCATATCACTATTGCAGTGGATATCAGGCTAATTAGTGTGACAGATATCATCCTGATGGACCTTGAGAACAGGAAGTAGCAGATATTTTAGAAAACTTGGTAAGCATGATGTCTGTACCACAGAGCAGATAATATATCTCACAGATATACATGGGCTTATTTATTCAGTGAACTAGGTAAGGGTCTGGGGTTTGTTAAGATGTTCCCTATGAAATGAAAGACAAACTGCTGTGCACCACACTCCCTACCACTAAGAAAGAGATATCACACTTGGGCTTCTTTAGACTTGGGTGGTAAAATATATCATATTTAGGTATATTATTTTTACCTGTTACTGGCTCATTTGAAAGCTGCCAATGTTAGGGAGGATCATAAAAGGAGAGAAGGTTTTCTTATTGCATCAGGCTGAAGAGTAGTAAGTAGTTCTGCCTTTGGCCTTTATACTCAGGCATGGGATTTATTTATTTATTTATTTATTTAAAATCCTTACTTGAGGATATTTTTCCATTTATCTTCAGATAAAGTGGGAGGGAGAGAGAGAGAAACATTGATTGGTTACCTCCTCCACAACCCTGACCAGGACCAGGGACCGAACCACAACTGAGGTACATGCCCTTGACCAGAATTGAACCCGCAACTCTTTGGTCTGCGGGCTGATGCTGTAACTGCTGAGCTAAACCAGCCAGGGCAGGCATTGGACTTTTTAAACAGTTATATTCTCCTTCAGCAAATAGTTATTTTCCTTTTGAGAAACAACTCCTGGCTTGCTCTAAGTATCTGTGAAATTGGATGCCTAACCATGGCATACTGAGCATGGCATACTAGATGACCATGGGATCTGAGATACCATGTTATCTGATCTACCCAGCCATAATATCAGGGATGGCCTGCAGCACTCCATCATCAAAAGGAAATGACGTTAAAAAAAGAAAAAAGAAAAAAAATATATGGCCTTTGTCCAAGCAAGACCTACAGGTAAAAGTTGGTTGCCTGAGCCCGGCCACTGTAGCTCAGTGGTTGAGCATCGACTCATGCACCAAGAGGTCGCCAGTTCGATTCCCAGTTGGGGCACATGCCCACCTTTTGGGCCCAATTCCCAGTGCAGAGTGTGCAGGAGAAGGCCAGTTGATGTTCTCACTCATTGATGTTTCTCTCTCCCTCTCCCTTATTCTCTCTCCAAAATCAGTAAAGAAAAAAAAAAAGTTGGTTGCCTGAGCAAGTTGTTTACATTTCTGGTCTGATGGAGAGTTGTTTATGAGTTGACTGAGGAAGTAAAATCTAAAGCCCACTTTTCAGATTGCTCCAGCTAGAAGTAGATTGCTGGGGTGTTCCAGCCTTCCTCTGAGATGGTCAAAGGAACCTAGAAAAGGTGATGCACCCAGAGGCCCTGAAGTAAAGACACACCAATTCTTGGATGTTGGATAATGGTTCAGTCTGTTGGTCAGAGACTTGAAGGAAGTTTTGAGGAAGACCTGTGGCTGGATTGCCCAGAATGGCTGCAGAGCATAAGGTTATCTGTGTCCCAGATGAACATTCATAA